TGCAGTTCCTCTTTCCCATATGTTATTTTCCCCTAAATTGTACAGGATTACAGCTGTTTACATTTACATCTTATTAGGTATTGTAACTAATCCAATAATGCACTGTATTCAGCCTCTTGAATAAGTACATTATATGTAAATAACTAATACTATGTCATTTTATATAAGGGATTTGAGCATTCAGGGACTTTAGTATCTGCGTGGGGTCCTGAAAGTAATCCCAGAGTGCTGAGAGGGGTACCTGGGTACAATATTATAGTAATGATAAGCATATGTTACTTATGTACTGTACATTGGTTTCTAGTCCATAATCAGTACAGAAATGGACAGCAAGTCTTGAGAAAGCATTCATAGGAATGTTACAGAGTGATTTTTTGGTCTTTTTATTGACTATAAACCAATTTGAAACCTGTGTATTAGTCTTTATCATTTTTCTAGCAATTCATGTTTGTGATATTCCATATAAATTTGGTCAGGGACATATTAGCTTTTTATTTGGTGGTCGTGAGGCCTGAACTCTATGCCTGGGCGCTGTCCCTCAGCTCCTCAGCTCAAGGCTAGCACTCTACCACTTGAGCCACAGCGCCACTTCTGGCTTTTTCTGCTTATATGGTGCTGACGAATCCAACCCAGGGCCTCATGCATGTGAGGCAAGCACTCTACCACTGAGCCACCTTCCCAGCCCCCATATTAGGTTTTTGTTTTTTGTTTTTTGTTTTTTGTTTTTTTTCTGTTGGTCGTGAGGCTTGAACTGTGGCCTGGGCACTGTCCCTGTGCTCTTCAGCTCAAGGCCAGTGCTCTACTGCTTGAGCCATCACATCACTTAAGGTTTTCTAGTGGTTTATTGGAGATAAGAGTCTCACAGACTTTCCTGCCCAGGCTGGCTTTGAACCACAATCCTCAGATCTCAGCCTCCTGAGTAGTTAGGATTACAGGCATGAGCCACCACTGCCAGGCAACAGTGATTTTCTTAATGGCTTTAAAGTTCACAAAATAGTGCTTCTCTGTCAGCCTAAGGATTGTGTAAGATTCACTGGAAAATGTTTCCTATTTTGTTGTTTGCATGGTTTCTCAAATGTAGGATGAGAATTCATAGTGTGCTTGGTCTTTTTGTTTTTGGGTTTTTTTTCCTCTAATCTCTAGCTTCTATCACATCAATACACATTTTAATGATGGGGTAGAAAGGAATAATGAATCTTATGAAGCTATTACTGCTGCCACAAACAATGATAGGAGATAGGCTAATCAAATGTATTTGTCAATGGATATGATTAAGCTAAATTTAATTCACCCTAAAATATGAGATTGTGAACATTGCATGTTCTCCAAAGAGAGTTTTTCTCTTCAGGGAAACCAAAATAATCATTCTTAAAAACTTCAAAGTCTACATAGAGAGATTGTCCCTTTTGAAACCAACTTCCTCAAGGATAGCTCTCATTTAATTTGCCTGTAATTTTATATACTTTGCCTATCGTCTAGTCACTTATAGTTGTTTTTTATCTGAACACAAACAGAATGTCCATATAATTTGTATTATGAGTGCTTTTACTTATTTGCCCAGGTGGATATATCTATGTATATGTATATATGTATGTATATGTATATATATCATTAGGCAAAAATTTAGGTAAGGAAGTAACTAAAGAGGGAGGCCCAATTACTCATTGAAAATATATCTCCTTGTAGTCAAAACAATGATGTTGAAGCAAAATTTAAACATTCAACTGTAAAGGTACGTTTTTAAAAATACAGACATAATGAACTATATTTGAATACTAGTGCTTTGAATTTTTTAGGTCTTTAAACATTGGTTAGTGAGTTGACTTTCATTAGAGATAAGTGATAAATTCAAGTGAGAGGCACCTCCTCCATTTTCAGTAGTTTCTTTATGTACAACTGTGCTTTCCCTGAGGCTGGGCTGCTAGACTTCACTAAACATAAAGGTTCACACTTAATTCTGAAAACTCCGTATATTAATATTAGGAAAGTGGATATACAAATGTCCTCTTATGTGCTTTAAAGTTATGTGTAAATCCTAATGGCCATACACTGAAGAAACTTCCCCAAAAATTTAAGGGTAAGATTAAATGACTTGTACTATCTCAATATCAGTATTTTTTTATATATAGACAGTAAAGAAAAAAAATATCACCAACTAGATGAATTAGGTTAGGACCCGGAGGGAGAAGTAGATGAAGGTAAAGGACTGCTGATAAGGCAGAGAAGCCATGTGCTTAGAGAGATAGAGGAGCCAAAGGTTTCTCAGTCTCTATGACCAGGGTTTGCAAGCTTATGCTATGGGACAAGCTTTGAGTGCCTTCAAATGTATTCATCAGACTCAGAGATGAAAAGCATAGAATACAGTATTTATCTCCTTACATCAAGAATGTTCCAAGACACACAGGCTAGCTGAAATCTTGGATTGTATTTAGAAGTGCTGAGAATTAGATGACTGAATGGATATGTAAGACAAGGGGATGATCCAAAAGTTCTATCATATTGCACAGAAAGAGGTGCAGGTTAAAACTTCTGAATTGTTTCTGGAATGTTCCATTTAATTATTTTATACTACTAGGAATTGGGACTGTGAAGAACAAAACTGGATAAGGAAGGACTACTGTATTTGTAACTTAGATTACACTTAAACTTTACTTTGATCTTTTTAAAAAAATTGTTTGTAGACAATTCATAAGACTGTCTAGAAGAGCATTTTGTTCTGGAGTAGAGACAGGGGGCTTAAGCACCAGAGGGTGACTGTGTAGCTAGGAAAACTGTTCTCAGAAACCCTGTTGACTTGGTCACAGTAATGGCAGAAAGTTAAGCCTCTCGTGGCAGCATGTGAAGAGCTGCTTGCTTCATGGGATACGGGCAACAACTTGTACATGATTATATATAAGATTATGTACATAATATTCATGATTATGTACATGATTATCTCCTATGGTTTGTCTTTAGTTTTCTTGATGGAATCAATGTGAAGGATAATTTTTCAGACCATATTTTAGGTTTTGATGATGCAGAGGTGGTCCTGTCATGCTTCAGCCTCACATGGAGGAATCACATGACAACTATGTGACAGAACACAGAGGCCTTAGTAATAGAATTAGCAGCAAATCAGCTTATCCTTGTTTCACTGAGGGCAGAAAACACCTTTCCTTTTCCTTTTCCTTTTTTTTTTTTTAAATATATGGTCTTGCTATGTTGCCTAGACTGGTTTCAAAATCCTGGCCTCAAGTAATGGTCTCATCTTAGTCTCCCAGGAACCTGGGAGTATATGTCATCGAACCAGCTCCCAACTCTGGCTTAAATCACAGAGTTCTACCTTATTATTGAACTATATGTTCCATAGGTAACCCTTTCTCTTGTCTGTTAGCTTTTATATTTCCAGGTGTATAAGATTCATCTCTTGAAAGATTGTTCTATTTTAAAACAGCTACTACAATTTTCCTGCACTGTTGTAAAGGACTTTGTTGGGGTTTTTTTTCATGTATGTTCCAATCACACATGAGGTTATTGGAGTGTGGCAAGATGAATAATGGGCTGGAAACTCAGAGGCTCAGAGATCTGATTTTGCCAGTCATTCATCTTACAACTTAAATGAGCTGCCTCCCAATCTCTAAGAGTTTCTAGTCCTATTTATTTAAATGACATTAAAACTAGCTCATTCCACAGCAGGACATTGTAATGGTATTAACCATAAGCAAACATACTATTAAACATTAATTCCTTAATAATATAAAGGATAACTGTGTTCATAGTTTTATTTGGTCCTTATAACAATTTTTTTCTGGAAAGGCAGTCTCCTTATTGGCTCTTGGGGAATCTTAGCAGCTAGGACAAGATAAAAATTACACACACTTCATCTCATATTGTATTTGTTTGTAAATATATGTACAGTTTTCACTAGAATACATATATAGACATATATATATATATATATACATACCACCTTGAACATTGAGGTTTATAGTTGGGTTTACAATGAGGTGAGTTTTACAAAGGATATTTAATTAGGTGCAGCTGCCTGTTTGCTTTGGAGTCCTGCCTCACCTGGACAACACTTCCTCCTTAGACTGTCAATACAATTTTATTCTCCACCAAGGGGATAACTTATTTTCCCTTTTTTCTCAGAATATTTAAAATAGTTTATGAACTCAGATATGTAGTTGTAATTGCTGTTTCTGTTCATCTTGTCCATGAGGGGCACTAAAATGCCAGGTTATCTGGCAAATATGAAATTATCTGGCAACTTGTAGATCAGTGGTGGTGTTGTCAAGAGAAACACACCTGGAAACTTCTGAAAATATCCTCTTTCAGAGTGGGCAGTGGCCACATCAGAGTGCTTGATCTATACCTGGTTGTAACCTCCCACCCCTACTCATGGAGTCTCTGTTGCAGTGTGCCAGAGGGGTAGTGGTCAGACCTCACCTATGACCCCAAAGAGTATCACTGTGGCTCTAACATAGGATTCTACAAACCAGACTAGTGTGTTGTCTCCTCTGGACATTAAGTCACTAAAGTCATGATTACCAAAATGATGCTCTTCCACTTACAGGGAAGTGCTGACTCATAAAACGTTATAATACAGAACAACTGTTTGTGTCCATGCTGATCATTGTGTTATAAGTGGTCACATGTTACCATAGAGTTTTTAAGTACAGTTTGGCTGGTGAAACTGAGGACCTGAATGTTTAGTATGGGATTTTATTTAATTTGAGTTTAAATAACCACATGGGACTAGTAATTACCAGATTGATCTTGGCAGATCTACAGCTATTGTGTTGCAAAACTGTTACTTAGTGGATGAATGCCATAACATCCAGGGAACTACATTACTGACCTTAAGAACATATTTGGAGTGGTAGAAGTAGGAGGTAATGGATGAAAAAGATTTGAAAGAAGTAGAAATTTTAAGTTTAACTAAGATACATGAAACAGCTTTTCTAAAGCGAGCAGAAGTGGGGTTTGGATCTTGACTCTCCTCTGTTTTGTCTCTGCAGGTTCCTTCATGCTGGTGAACACATCTGGAAGACCTGAGGGGCAGAGAACTCACCTGCTCTTACCTCAGCTCAAAGAAAATGACACCCACTGCATTGATTTTCACTATTTTGTATCCAGCAAGAGTAATGCTGCTCCAGGGTTACTTAATGTCTATGTGAAGGTCAATAATGGGCCCTTAGGGAATCCTATCTGGAATATATCTGGAGACCCTACACGCACATGGAACAGAGCAGAACTGGCCATTAGTACATTCTGGCCTAACTTTTATCAGGTATGTGCTTTCTTTCCATTTTATATTTTAAAGTATCCTCTCATTTCTAAATCTATAAATTGTTCTTATATTAGTATAATCAACGTATAGGAGAAATGGTGTTTTTGAAAAGACAATTGAAAAAAATGACCTATGCTATTTGATAAGGAGTATCTTGAGGCTTTCTGAAATGAATAAAGACATAACTTAGTCTGTCCCTCATGGTGCACTCTTGTCTGCAAGGATACCTTACTTTGTGTATAAAGTAAGGATGTTGACCCAGAGACAGCACTTGAAAATGCAAACGCCTCTCCTGGCACTGCATAAACCACAAAGAAGGGAGCTCCAGTGAGGGCAGCTTGGGATGGGCTTCACCCTTAAGTCCTTGTTGTAGAGGACATTCTGTTATTTTGGAGGATCTCTTGAAACCCCCTGTATTTATTTTAACTGAAAACTCCTTTAAATCACTGAGGCAAAAAGCCTAGGACAATTCATACATCATACAAAATTAATTAACACAAGAGCTGATTACAGGTTCATGCCTGTAATCCTAGCACCTTAAGAGTCTGAGATGTTAAGATTGTGGTTCAAAGCCAGTCAAGGGAATAATTCTTTGAGAATTAGTTCCAATTAACCAGCAAGAAGCTGGAAGTGGAGTTGTGGCTTAAGATTTAGAGGGTTAGCCAAAAGCACAAAGCTCAGGGACAGTCTTGAGTTGAAGCCCCAATATTGGCACAAAAGAAAAATGTAAGTAATCACATACCATTCTGAAGTGAGATGAGAAGTGTCAGTAATGCATAGGGAATACTTTTTCCTTTTGGCCACAACATCTTTAACAAATCCCTGGTGTTGAAAAATACTCTGTTGATTTTCTGTTAAGAAGAAGAAGTGGTGTTTTGTTTATCTTGTGCGTATGCGCCTACGCACATGCCTGCATACGTGTGCGTGCGTGCGTGCGTGCGTGCGTGCGTGCGTGCGTGCGTGCGTGTGTGTGTGTGTGTGTGTGTGTGTTTTCTAGGGCATAAATTTAGAGCTTGGGTGTGGTCTCTGAGCTTATTTCTTCAAGGCTAGCATTCTACCATTTGAACCACAGCACTACCTGGCTTTTTGCTGGTTTATCAGAGATAAAGTCTCAATGACTTTCCTGTCTCAGCTCCCTTTGAACCATGATTGTCATATTGCAGTTTCCCCAGTAACTAGGCTTATGGGCATGAGCCACCGGTGCTCAGTTGTTTTGTTGTTGCTGTTTTTAAATAAGTTTTTTTATTGTCAAAATACTGTACAGAGGGATTACAGTTACATGAGCAAGGTAATGAGTACATTTCTTATCAAGCATTGTTGCCTCCTCCTTTGTTTTTCCCCTACCATCCCTTCCCTCCCACCTCCACCTCCTCAACTACACTCTACCCCCCCCACACCTGCTCGCCTAAATTGTAAAGTTCGTTTTTCAACATAATGTCTTGTACATCTCATTATTGCAGTGGATCAACCTGTATCACTAATTTAAACAATTTTTTCCCCTTCCCCTCCCCAAATTATACCAACATCAAATACAGTGAAAACAGAGGTTATACCATGGGGAGGGACATACAAAATAACAAAGAAATCATCTTATAAATATGTTAGAAACAATCGCAAGGATTTAAGGATTCAGGTGGACCTGTTGCAACAATGAGAAGTACAAAATGTCATGTCAAAACCAGCTTTACAATGTCGGTGTGGTGGGGGGGGGTATGATTGGGCGGGAGGGAGGGGGGAGGCTGGGAAGGGAGGTTAAGGGTAAACAAAGGAGGAGGCTGCAATGCTTGTAAGAAATGTATGCATTATCCTGCCCATGTAATTGTAACCCCTCTGTGCAGTATGTTCTCAAATAAAATAAAATAAAATTAAAAAAAAAAAGAAAAAAAAAAGAAAAAAAGTGGGACTATAAAAAAAAAAGAAACAATTGCAAGAAAGAAAAAAAATATTTGAATCCTTATCTTGGGGTTCATTTTGCCTAACATCAATTTATCTGACCGTTTCTGCTTGTCTCAGACATATACTAGTTATTGCAAATAAGGGAAACCAAGAAGGAGGCTACAATGCTTGATAAGAAATGTACTCATTATCTTGTCCATGTAATTGAAACCCCTCTGTACAGTATTTTCACAGTAAAAAAAAATAAAAATAAAAATAAGGGAAACCATGGGACCTATGTTTCTTTGGGCCTGGCTTACTTCACTTAATATAATTTTTCCCAAGTTCCATTTCCTAACAAATGGGGCAATGTCATTCTTTCTGATGGAGGCATAGAATTCCACTATATATATATAATCACATTTTCTTGATCCATTCATCTACTGAGGGAGCATCTGGGTTGGTTCCATATCTTAGCTATGGTAAATAATACAGTTGTGTTGGTGGCTTTAGTATGGTCTTGTTTGTGATCATTCGGGTAAATGCCCAAAAGTGGGTTTGCTGGGTCATAAGGGAGCTCTATGTGGATTCTTTTGAGGAACCGCCATACTACTTTCCAAAGTGGTAGAAGTTTTTGTTTTGTTTTGTTTTTTTTAATTGTGAAAATACCATACAGAGGGGTTACAATTACATGGGCAAGGTAATGAGTACATTTCTTTTTTTTTCTGTCTCTCTTTTCTTTTTTTTCTCTCTCTCTCTCTTTTTTAATTGTGAGAATACTGTACAGAGGAGTTACAGTTACATGGGCAAGATAATGAATACATTTCTTATCAAGCATTGTTGCCTCCTCATTGTTTCCCCTTCCCATCCCTTCCCATACTCCTCCCCTCCCCAGAATGCATACATTTCTTATCAAGCATTGTTGCCTCCTCCTTTTTTTCTCCTTCCCATCCCTTTCCATCCTCCCTGCCCTCCAAAGTTGAAAAGTTTGTTTTTTGACATAACATATTTTGTACAGATCATGGGACTGGTTTTGAGCTATTTGTTTTTGCTCTACTACTTGAGCCATAGCCCCACTTCCTATTTTTTTGTGGTTAGAAATAAAAGTCTCATGAACTTTCCTGCTCCAACTGGCTTCAAACCATGATCCTCCTATCTCAGCCTCCTTAGTAGCTAGGATTGTAGGCATGAGCTCCCATGTGCCCAGTTTAGTCTTTCTAACTTTGCTTTTGGTTCATTCAGGAGTCAACCCTTACATGTGTCTACTGTCATTTCTCAGATTTAATTATGTTGTTCAGCTGACTCAGGCATGGGAGAACTAGATCTTTCCAGGAATGCTTATCTTTGGTGTTTATTAGTTAAGATCATTCAAACCCAAACCCTTTGTCCCTGCATTATAATGGGGATGGATATAAGTAGGCAGTAAATTTTTTGGTTATGTAATGGATGCCTGAGCCCAGCACAATTTCCTACTTAATGAATGACCAATGTTTACAAGTGGAAATGAAGAGTAAAGAGAGCTCTATTAGAATACAAGCTAATTGTTTTTTTTTTTTAGAAGATTCTTAGGCAGTAAGCTTTAAGATTGTTAAAAATTTAGATAAATCTAAATTTAGTAGTCTGCTAAAGAAATAATGAACAGTGATTACAAGTAAACAAATGCAAAGATATTCATAATAGTTTATTAAAAAAGCAAAATAAAAATAAAAATTAAAAAACATCAAAAATGCAAAATAAGTAATTTGACAAAAACAGAGGATTTTAATTTATGCCATCTCAATACAAAAATTTCCTTTAGAATGTGGCCAAAAGGGAACCCTACTGCATTGTCATTGGGAGTGTAAACTTGTTCAACCACTTTGGAAAGCAATATGGAGTTTCCTCAAAAGACTCCACATAGAGCTACCCTAACATTTTTCTAATTTGAGGAGGGGAAGGGAAATTTTTAAAAAATGCTTAAATAAGGATACAGGTTGACCCATTGTAACAATGAGATATACTACAAGACACTATGTTGAAAGCAAACTTTACAACTTGAGTGGGGGACAGTTGGGGAGGGATGGTAGGGGAAAAACAAAGGAGGAGGTAACAATGCTTTTTAGGAAATGTACTCATTACCTTACTCATGTAACTATAATCCCTTTGTGCAGTATTTTTACAATTAAAAAAAAAAAACAAAACATGTTAATCTCGGCGCCCATGGCTCACGCCTGTAATCCTAGCTACTCAAGAGGCTGAGATCTGAGGATTTTGCTGTTCAAAGCCAGCCTGGGCAGGAAAAGTACGTGAGACTATCTCCAATAAGCCACTAGAAAACCGGAAGTGGCACTGTGCTTCAAGCTGTAGAGCCCTTGCCTTAAGCTGAAGAGCTCAGGGACAGCGCCCAAGCCAGAGTTCAAGCCCCACGACCAACAAAAAAAAAGAAAAAAAGAAAGAAAAAAATTCCCTTTGTAACTATTAGTAATATTATGGAAGATTAATTAGTGATATAATTAAGTTTATTTTCATAAATGGATATGAAAGGTGTAAAGCATCTTAAATTCCATTCTTAAATATGTGTATATATAATTTAAGAATATATGTTAATACATATTAAAATATGTAATACATACAGTAATGTATCTATTAATATTTAATATATCTAAAAGACCAAATATACCTAAGATAAATATAATAAAAAGTGATATCTCTCTAGTTAGTGGAATAAAAAGTTTTCTGAGTAGTTTTTTTCTGTCATTTTTACAGTGTACATTTTCCCAGCATACAGGCACAATTTGTTTTTTGTTTTTTTGTTTGGTTTTTTTTTTTTCAGGTAAGGAGTAGGTTTATTCAGTAGACCTGCTGGGAATGAGAGAGAGCTGGGAAAGAGAGGGGAAAGAGAGAGGGAAGAGAGAGGAAAGAGCTAGAGCAGAGAGAAAGCAGAGAGAGCTAGAAAGGAGCAGCAAGAGAGAGCCAAGAGAGCTAGAAAAGAGCAGCGAGAGAGCACAGGCACAATTTGTATTGCTGAAACAAAAGAATTTTTTTCCCTGCTGGTAGGAAAATACCTTTTTTTTCCTTCCTTCCTTCCTTCCTTCCTTCCTTCCTTCCTTCCTTCCTTCCTTCCTTCCTTCCTTCCTTCCTCCTTT